AATATATATAAGCACATATAAAAGCAAAAAAATTGAAAAAATCGTGCCCCCAAATTAACCTAATCCAAAAATGAGCATTGGAGATGAATACTTCTCAGATGAAGAAGTAGAAAGGCCAAATATATGAAAAAATGTTCAACATAATTGGTCATTCAAGAGATGTAAATTGAGTTGAATCCCCGGTTCTGAAAAAAAAAAAAAAAAAATAAAAATAAAAACAACACATTTAATTTTCAAAAAAAAGGGTTTCCCCAAAAAAAACAAAAAAAAAAAAAAAAAAAAAAAAAAATGTTGGAAGGGCTGTAGGGGAAAAGAAACCCATCTCTACTGTTAAGAGTGTAGACTGGTTGAACAACTATAGAAATCAGTATGAAATATCCTCAAAAAACCAAGGTTAGAGATCCCCATTTGACTAGCTATTCCTCTTACACATGTCTTCCCGGAAGAGTTAGAAACATCATAATACATGTACACCCATTTTTATAGCAGCATGATTTGTAATAGCAAAATCTTGGAAATAATCCAAATGTCCATCAACTGAGGAATGGATAAAAAAGATACAGTCTTTATACAATGGAGTACTATTCAGCCATAAAGAAAGACAAATTTGAGACATTTATAAACAAATGGATGCAACTTGAGGCCGTATTTCACCATAAGTGAAATCAGACTCATGTGTAAATATCGTATTGTGTCCCTGGTGTGAGAAACTGAAAGAATAAATCAGGACCAAAATGTACAGAGAAATGGGAAGAAATTGTTCAAGAGGAGAGAGGAACTAGGGTGGGATGGGGGAAAGGATGGAAATGAAATGGGGAAAAAATACAAGACAGTTTTACTACTAGTTTCTCAATTCATTGAAAAGAAAGGTTTGTACTAATTGGAGAAATTTTTATGCCCATATCTTTCACTCTGAGTAGCTACTTTGAAGATAACAATACACAAAGTATTAAAAAGGTAACCTGGGCAGTATAGTCCTTCCTCACGTAGAAATATGGTGAATATAATCTGACTTTCTCATCACAGAAAATTCACCTTCTTTTTTCATATTTAATAAATATTTTTTTAATTTCAGGTATTTCTATGTAGCAGATAAAAATTTCTCAGCTAGAAATTTGCAGTGCATAATAGGAAAATTCAAATTAAAAGAAAAAAGTCTATCTTATTTAAGTTTAGTATCCACTTATTTTTTCAAATTGAAGAACAAAACAAATAGAAACAAAGAAACAGGGTGACATACAATACATAAGTTACAGATGTTCAAAACGAGAATAGCTAATTAACAATGGTTGTATTTTAGGGAAGGGTCTACAGGGTGTTCAAGGTTTCACTACTGGATTGAACTAATGATATGCCTGTTTACAGCCTCCCAAGTGCTGGGATTACAGGCACGTGCCACCACACCCAGTCTCAATTGCCCCAGGGGTGGTGCACGGCAGGTTTGGGGATCAAATCCCTGGCCCCTGTGTCTGCTTGTAGCTGCTTTAATCTGCTGAGCTATTTGGCCAGCCCTTAAATTTGTTTTTTAATAGTCAACTTTCACAAAGAAATGATTAGGGTGATGGAGATGATTTTAGTAGCGCATTTCAGGGAGCCACACACACTGACAGAAAAAAGACCTGCAATCTAAACTCTTGACAGTAGCCTTGCCTGGATTACTAAATTTAAAAACAGAATAACTGAAGTCTTCCAGAGTTGATACCAGTTCTTTAATTCAGCATCAACGGAATTCTACTTTGGAGCATTTTCCCCCTCCATTTGAATAAACACCTGTCAAATTTTATTAGGTACTAATAAATTCAGGTAATGATTGCACTCCTTACATTGTTAAGCTTTTTCTTTTTTATGCATTTGGTACAGGGTCTCACTACACTGCTTGGCAGCTTGAACTCATAGTTGATCCTCCTGTTTTCAGCTTCCCCATTGCTGGGATTACAGGTTTGCACCATCACACCAGGTCTTGCCAGCTCACTATGCCCAGGGTGGGGCTGCCTTGGCATTTGGTGCTGCGGATAGAACCCGGGTCCCTGCCCTTGCCTAAACAGGCATTTAGGCCACTGAGCTATCTCACCAGCCCTGTTAAGCTTTTTCTATGACATCATGTCAATTTGTTCTCATAAATCATAAAATTCTGTCCTTTAATCACAGAGAACTTTTATGTGGCATAAACTAGAGCCTAAATTCCCCCAGTGTGTATTCGTGTGTGTGTGTGTGTGTGTGTGTGTGTGTGTGTGTGTGTGTGTGTTTCAGTATCGGGGATTGAATTCAGGACTTTGCGCTCGCCAGGCAGGTGCTTATGCCACTGAGCTATCTTCCTGGCCCTTTACCAGTGTGTAATACATAAATGTGGCAAAAGACAGGAATATCAGAGATCTGTGTACACTTGCTGTTAGTTTTTTTTTTCAGTTTTCTACAATAAGAAAGGTCTACAAGTGATACAAAGATGATTCAATTATCACTACCCAGATTATCAGATTTGAACTCTGAGTAAGAACAATTAGAGTGTTAGAGATTGAAGTCCCCAGGCTGTTATGGGAGAGCATCCTCAATCTGTATTTCAAGGGGACTTTCAGTAAGGAAAAAGCAGATACCATGTTTGAGAACCCCCTGCTGCACTCAACATCGTGCTGGGATATACTTATTTTCACAATGAGATCTGCAAGTATTCCTTTGAAATACCTGAATCCATCTGTTCAGTAACAGCCACTGTTTCCTAACAAGGACACTACTATAAAAGAGTAGCAGCTGGGAAGATAGCTCAGCAGTCTAAGCACCTGCCTAGCAAGTGCCAGGACTTGGGTTTGATCCCCAGTACTGCATGAGCTGTGTAGCAAGATCTTGTAATAAATAAATGATTTAAAAGAAAGAAAGAAGAAAAAAAAAAAAAAGAACAGCAAATTCTTCCAGGAAAAAAAAAAAAAAAGTACACGGTTTGCATCATTATAATTTCCTTGTGTTCCCTAACAAAAGAAGATCCTTTAGTAATGAGCTTTGGTAAGGAATCTGATGGAAAACAGATTGCTTAATTTTAAAACCAAGATTTCTCTAATATTGGCATTTATTTAATGCTAACATAAGATTGCTACAATTTTAATTTAAAAAATAATCTGAATCTTTACCAAGAGAAAGCTAAAAAAAATTCCAGTAGTATTCTTGTAAAAGAGTAATACATGCTTAAAATGTATGGCAGTCCTCGTTGCACATTCAGCATGTGCTAAATGGGTTAAGTATGTGGACAATGTAGAGTAGGCCACTAAAACATTTAGTATTAAGCCAGGAGATTATCTACATAGGAAGAACAAGCTTCCACAGAAGGATCTTACCTAGAGATAAACGCAATTAGTGAAAATAATCCATTGTTGAAATATGTCACAATGGATAAAATATGGCCAGGTTAGAATTTGTAGTCTGTGTAGGCAGAATGATTATACTAGGGGAAGTTATCAGAGTTTATATTGTATGTTGTTTTTATATTCTGTAGATACATTTTAGAGTTTAAAAAGAAACTCAAAGTAATGCTCAAAATCACCATTTCTATAAGTAAATATCTAATAAGTACACCAACTTATACAACATGATATTAGAATCAGACCAGAAATTTACATGCATTACATGGGAAAATTTGCTAGTATTTAATGGAGTAACTTTTTGCACTTTTTTTTTTTTTTTTTTTTTTTTTGCGTAACCAGGGATTGAACTCAGGCCCTTGCACTTGCCAGGCAAACACTTATTCTACTGAGCTATCTCCCTAGCCCTTTTTGCACATTTTTAAAAAATTAAAACAGGCTTGTAATATATAATGACTACTTTCACTGTGGGTATTTGATATAATGGTGTAACTTTTTTCACATTTTTCCTTAAAATATGAGTCACTATTGCTAGCTTTTTCATAAACATGTTTTATAAATCTTTTGCACTGGCTTTCCTTAGTGAACATAGTTTGTAAAAAAGGCCATATTTCTAATAAATGTCTATAGGTTCTACAGTCTCTTTTTAATTGTTTTCAAAATTATTTAATTACCAGTGAGTCATTCACATTTTCTCACTCCATTCCCCAGCGACCATGTTATGACTACATTGTAGGCATGAATTTTTCCAGTACTAGCTCTGGCAGATCATTAGAAAAGGCATGCCTATGAAGGAATTGTATTTTCAGGGAACAGACCATTTCATACAGACAAGGAAGGTGAATAGACACTTACATTGGGGTGTATCAGGCCCGAACTTGTGGAAATGAACTTTCTGGGCTGCCTGAATGCCTCATCACTATATTCAGGTGAAAGGGTTCTTTCTTTTTGAAAAAATAACCCTCACCCATTAAATAATAGTAAATAATTAACTAATATGAACATTTCTTCAATAATTTAAAATGGAAATTTCTTTTTTCTTTTTTTGTATGTATTTAGTACAAGCTCTACAGGGTCTCACTACACAGATCGGACTCGTAGTGATCCTCCTGATTTCAGCCTCCTAGGATTACAGGTACGTACACCAAGCCCAAGCTCAATCATCCGCTCATCCTCAGGGGTGGGGCTGTCAAGGCAGGCTGGGGATTGAAATCCCGGCCCCTGTGTCTGCCCTAAGAAGGCACTTTAATCTACTGAGCTATCTGGGCAGCCCCAAATGGAAATTTCTTATATCTTAGTATCTAAAAGGTAAAGTCTCTATGGACAGGAATAATAAAAATTATCAGTTTAAAGGACAATCATTCTGATTGTCTAAATTTGAGTTAAGCCATTAAGTATTTTTAAAGTAAAACACTTGAAATGTTTTAATGTAAATTAATACATATTGTACAAAATGCAGACCTATTCACTCAGGTATAAACATAGGGCCTATCTACTTGGATTACCTCCAAAAATCATAACCCCTACAATTAAACGCAAAATTAGATCCAAAAAACCCTTTAATGTTTATTTACTGTAAGAAACAGAAAAAGGAACCATTACAACTTAATGGAAAAAAAGTTTATTCATTTTTAAATTTTTTCAAATCTCATTCTACTGTTTCTTGACTTATTTATTTAAGAAAGTACATAAAAGACCTAAAGGGAGGAAAATTAACAATATTGCAGTAGAGTAAAAGGTTAAAATCCCTCTTATTTTTTCTTGGCTTCCAGTTTGATCCTGTCCAGAAAAACAGCGATAGTAGTTACTGTGCTTTCAAAACATCTATTTGCATATAATTCTTAGTAAGTCACATGATACTACTGCTGCCCTTAAGACTTCTAGCAGGAGCTATAGGTTCCAGTCTGGCACTTCAGGTAATGATAAGTGACCAAAAAATACTTGAAGATAAAAGTGAAAATGTATCATATCTTCTGAGATTTTTTTCAAGCTGATTGTCATTAAACATTTTAGCTTAAGAAAATGTGGAAAAAACCTCCATCTTAATATTTTAAAAAATGTATTCAAATAAATCATAAAATGGACTTGGTTGACATTGGTTCTTTCGTAAACACATTTAATATGAAATTCTTTATAATTTTAGTAAGGATGAGTAACTGCAAGGATCTTTTACACCATTATGTCTCATCTTTTAGTTTTGTGTTGTGTTAGACATTTATCCCAATTACTTAGCTGAGTTTAGACATTATCTGCTTTAACTTCTCAGATTAGTAACAAAGAAATTAGACAGCTTACTCTATTGTTAACGTTAAAAAAAGCTTACACTCTATTCAATATTTGTTTTTAAAAAACAAGTCATTGTTTTTTGTAAGTAGTGCATACAAGGCACGAGAGCTTCTGGGTTTACTCACGGAAGCCAAACATTTTGACATCCACAAACACATCATTTTAGTTTATCTTCAAAATAAATTCCCAAATAGTATACCACTTAATTCATGTTGAATTAAATTTCTATAAATATATGGTTTTTGTTTAATGATTTGCATAATTTAATCTTAATGAGTATTTGAAGAGAATATAAATGAACTGTCATAGTTTAAAGAGAGAATACATAAATAATATAGATATCATTGCAGCGTTAATCCAATGATCCATCAGGAATTCTTAACAGGGACTTAATATTTTCACTATATTTAGTAGGAAAAACAAGAGATTCTGTAAAAGTGAAAACCAACCGAAGAATATCATAACCAAGTTACATAATTGTTATCACAGTTTTTACTCCCTCATTCTATGATGAGAAGAGATGAAAATACATTTCTGATACATTAGAATTACTCTCTCAAAACACTGCATTGGGTCTAACAAAATCTTTCTACTCAATTGCTTTACCATTTAGCTCAAGCTTCAATTTCACACTTATTTTCTAGCAGGGAAGAAAGATTAGAACTAGAATTAAAATCTAGCAGCTTTTGGTGATCTGAACTGTAGACCACTTGGTCTTTCTAATGAATTCATAGTTAACTACAGTTCACTTATAGTCTGAGGCCAGATTCACATCAGAGGGAAAAAAGTCAAGTTTGATTTCTTGACACCTTCTTCTTAAAAGTAATTGGTATGTTTTACAAATAAGTCTTATTGTTACGACATTTCAAGTCTTTTAAATCTTAAACAATATTAGTCTCAATTTTCTGAGTCAGAAAGTCAGATGGTCAGTGAGGTTTCAATGTGATAAATTGTGAAACCCAAATATTTGGATGAAAATTGGCCCGTGAATTTATTCCCAGATTTTGATAGAAGATATTGCTCTTTTGATTCATAAACCTTAATTATTTTTAATACTTAGTAGGATTTGGAGTTAGTTATAATAGAAAATGTATTATAATTTAAGCAAGGGCTAACTAATCAGTTAATATTGTGACTATCCAGGGATGGGGATGGTGTTCAGTGGAAGAGCACTTGCCAAGCTAGCATGTGCAAGGCCCTGGGCACTATCTCTAGCACTGGCAAAGAAAGCAAAGAAGGAAGGAAGGAAGGAAAAGAAAAGAGAAAGAAAAGAAAAAAAGAGAAGTAAAAAATCTGCATATTCATCTAGCCTAATGAATACACGAACAACTGGCCAATGGCACCTTCCCATGGGAAGCCTCTTCCATTCTTCTGTGGCATTGGTATCTTGAAATGAAACAGAAAAAATGAAACATTTGTTAGCTATAGGAAAACACAAAAATCAAACTAGCAAAAACCAGTTATTATTTATTATTTGTTGTAAGTACCTACATCCCTTGTTCAAAATTATTTTATATGCTAGAAGGTTGGGTAGATGTGTTTTGAACAAAGACCTCCAGATCAAAGCTTTTCAAACTTCAATATGTATACACAAGTAGGATCTCACTAAAATCTATTTTAAGATACAGGTTCTGACTCAACAGGTCTAATATGAGCCAAAGGCTCTACATTTCTATTGCTTCTAAGGTACAGCCAGGCTGTAGTCTGAATGGACTTTACAGTATTATTTTAAGGATAACACATGATATAAAGTCCTACTGTGACTAGAACTGGGGATGACAGTGGTTTGTGCTCATAAGACAATTATTTAAACTCAGAATAATTCTGCTAGTGGGTAGTCAAAGATACGATGACTAAATAAACTCTCTGATCTTATGAAGTGAAAAATTCCAATATATATATAATATATAGTAAGACTTTATATCATGTGTTATCCTTAAAATAATAATGTATTTATTTTAATAATAAAATAAATATATATAATATACATATTACCACCAATTTCCCCCATTACCACCAATTATGCAGTCTAGTTTCCCACTTCTATGGAAATCACAGGGGTCAGCATGTTCAGAGTACAATGGATAAGCCTCATGCTGGGAAAACTACCTTCATGATCATGGTATTTCCTCTACCAGATAAGTATTAAAATCATTATTTAGGACTGAATCTGATATTTAATGAATAACTACACAAATAACTTTTTTTCATCAACTTAGTTTTTTTAAACGGCTTTTTTGAGACAGGGTTTTGCTATGTAGTTCAGGCTGGTTTTGAACTCACTATGTAGCTCATGCTGGCCTCAAATTCACAGCTATCTTTCTGCCTCAGCCTCCCAGAGTGCCAGATTACAGGTGTGCACTACCATGCCTGGCAACTTAGTTGTAGTTTATCAGGTTACTGTAAACACTAGCTACTGTTGAAGGCTCCTCCATGACTGTTATCCCACAGGTCAAATAAGACATCTGAGTCATTCAAAAATAAATAATGTTCATGGAAACAAGCCTAAGAAAATTGGAAAACTGTTAAAAACATAAATCATACTCATAAAGAAAACACTTATCTTACTTTTATAAAATGTGAATTTATTTTGCTTGAAGATTTAAGTTTCATTTTCCATGGTTAAAGCAGGATTGCTCATACCTTAAAAAAAAAGAGCATAAATTAACATGCTTTTATTGTTTTGGAACAACAGGCAGACTTTGCGTATTCATTAATAAGTAATCCCCAAGATACTTGCAAAGGTACCAGGTATATGGTATGGAAATAAGATATTTTACAGAAACACATTCATGTACACTGTACCGTGTCCCAACCAGTAACACAGAGAGAGAGAGTGAGGAGGAGAATGCTAAAAATAGAGCTACATGCCTGGAAAAGCAAGAGTGCAGAATAACAAAAGATATACTGAACTTGGATTTGTCAGATCTAATTTCCTAATTCTTTTATTTCCTACTTCATTCTAGTCAAATCCACCCTAAACTCTTTTTCAATTTGTTCTCACATTTTTCTCCCTTCCTTTAGACTATCCTTTAAAGTTTGGTCTTTCAATTTATCCATCAAATGGAAAAAAATATTATAAGTAACAAATAATTAACAACATAAGGAAAAAATATCAAGAGGGCTGTCCAGATAGCTCAGCGGACTAAAGTGCCTGTTTAGGCAGGTTCAGGGACCCAGGTTTGATCCCTAGCGTGCCCTGCCAGTGTTGCCCCTAGGGCGCACTGAGCCAGTGACAGACTGGGTGTGGTGGGACCTGCCTATAAGCACTTGGAGGCTGAAAACAGGAAGATCACTACTAAATACATTTAAAAAATAAAATCAAGAGACCACTTCTGTTAGCATAGACTGTAAGATGAAACACAAATCCCTTCTGAAGAAAGGGAGCTCTTTATCCCTGTCTCCCTCACAGTGATCCCCAACTCCATATCCGTCCTTTGCTTCTAGGTAAACTGATGAGTTTTAAGGGCCTATGGGTATCATCAACTTTTGTAGTGCCTGTCCTCAATATGGATGGGAGAGTGAAATGACAGGTTTGTTGGGAAAATGAGAGACTGAACTATGAATATGCAAATTCGAAGAATTTTCAAAAGGCTGCAAGGACAGCCAACATTTTGGCCCTAGCCTTTCAAGGTCAGTGAGAACTTAGGACATAAGGGAACCTGTACTGTAACATCCTGTGACTCAGTTGTGTCCCAAATATACTGATCAAGGAGATTATGGGGCCACAGAGGAAAGTGATGGATAATGTAAATGGCCTTTAGAGTCACATGGAGAGAAAACATTCTCTGAGGCTTTCACAGAGAGCAAATTGGTCAAGCAATGGCTGTGACTCATCTAGATGGCTCACACTTACAAAGGATCTACAAACTGCGGTACAGGGCTTCAGGGTAAATCTTGAGAGGATTTGATTGACCTTGTCAGATACAAAAGTTACATTTCTTGCTAAATAGGTCTTGCTTTCTCTTGGTCTTAACCATCCAACAGAAAAGCATAAAAATGAAGTACAAAAGGTAAAGCCATATTAATATGCTGCGCTATAAAAGGTTCAAGTCAACTTCTGACATTGGTAGTCCTATGGATAACCCACTACTATTATGGACTACTGGACTATGTTGAATTATTTTGCTGAATTCACATACCTACAATATTTAAATGGCAATGGAATACCCAACTCTGACAACTAAACAGAAAAAAAAGAGGATATAAATGAAGGTACATTTTTGGATCTGTATATACAAAATAGGATAGATATACAGCTACTTTCTCTTAATTCAATGAGAAGAAAGGTTTGTACTAATAGTGTTTGGACAGGATATCATGTCTGTATCTTGTACTATGAATAACTACTACGAAGATAACAATATGCAATGTATTAATTCATGTAACTCTCCTAACCTGTTTTGAAACTGTCTCATTGCTATTTGTTTCTCAGTAAAATTAATAAAAAATAAATTAAAATAACCCTCCCCCCCAAAATGATTTGGTTCTTTAAAAAAACAACAGCAACTTGAAATTCTTTTTTTTTTTTTTCAGTGCCAGGGATTGAACCTGGGACCTTGTACTTGCCAGTTCTTTTGAGAGCAATTCTACATTTACAATGGGACTGTGACTCAAAAAAAAAAAAAAAAAAAAAAAAAAAAAAAACTTCACTAGGTAGCACACTGAAAATTTTCACCTTTAAAAATAAAATATACCTAAAAATATCCAAAGAAGCATACCCTTACCAGCTTTGCCTTTTCCTGGGTTTGTGCTGCTCTCTGTCCAAGGCTGAGAATCAGTAAGAAGGTGGCTCTGGGACTCTCTCAATGGCTTTGCAGGAAATTGATGGTTTTCAGGACTGATAAATAATAATTACCACAAGTTAATTCTTAGTAACATTGTTAAATATTTTTCAAAGTACAGAACTGAAATCACTTGCAGTTGTAGATTACAAGGCAATTATAGAAAGTACCAAAAAATAATACAGAAACTGTAAGAATAACACATTAAATAATATTGGCTCACAATGAGAAAAGTATTCTATCTTCAGCCTCCTTAAGAGGACAGTCTCTAACTTCCAACATTTTCCATTTCAAATACAGAGAACAGGCCTCAGTCTCAGAGGTTAGCAGGTAAGGAAATCTACTTATAACCCAATAACACTATTTTATT